ATGGTATATAGGGATGGTGACAAGCTTGTTATTAAATTGCATGCTTAGCAATAGTATAGTTACAATGTTACATAAAATGTATTATAAATTTATAATTATAATATGATATTAAATAAGTGTGATATGTCATTAAATAAATATATACATCTATATCACAAAAAAAACTTTAAGTGAAAAGAGCCTATTAAATAATGGTACATCATATATATTGCATACCTTTGATTTCAAGCATCCCCATAACCTAACTAGTCAAAATTGTGAAAGGCTAACTAGTGGCTTAATACTAAACTTACATCCAATTTAAACAAATTAACAATTGATGAAATGGTATAATAGTAGTTAAATCACATGTTACTTTATTATATCTTATACGGGTTTAAAGAAGAATAATAATAATAATAACTAATATAAGAGCTAGAGGCAACTGGACATTGGGCCGTTGATGATGGGCTGATTATGTGGACTATGTGAGGTGAGGCCGCCACTGGGTCACGATGAAGAGGGATTTATGATGAACTGAGAAGATATACAAAGAATTATGTTAATTTTGTATTTTTAATTTAAAAATATTAACTTTATTTGTTTTTATTTAATGTGGCAGATGAATTTTTTAATTAGAATATTAAAAGTTGATATTATGAAATAAAAAAATTTAAAAACTAATATTTTTATTTTGAAAACCGATAAAATTAATATTTTTAAATAAAAAAATAAGATTAACATTCCTATTTGCACCTTTTCTCATGATGAACGTATCTCACAATTAATTAGCAATTGACAAGGCACTAACCAAAATTCCATATTGGACAAAGCTGCAGAATTTGTTTTAAATGGAGACAAATAATACAATCACTAATTACATGAATCAGACTAATCAATAGTAACTTTTTTAATAATAATGAAATGGTATAGAGATAGAAAATATTACATCTCCAAAATCGATTAGTTTGGAGTTGTGTGAAATTTTATATATGCCACTTAACTCATGCATACAATGACGATATGGGATAAATACCCCACAATAAGGGAGGGAAGCCTCACTCAAAGGTGTTAATTTTTTTTTTTTTAACAATAGTGAAATGGTACATAGACATGACACTATAACTCCAAAACTGATTAGTTTGGAGTTGCATGGAATTTCATAGACTAATC